GGGTGACAAAGAAGGTGTTTTGGTGACCGGGAGGGCATTTTGGTGACTGGGAAGCCATTTTGGTAACCGGGAAGCCATTTTGGGTGACAGAGAAGGTGTTTTGGTGAGCGGGAGGGCATTTTGGTGACTTGAGAAGCTATTTTGGGTGACAAAGAAGGTGTTTTAGTGACCAGGAGGGCATTTTGGTGACTGGGAAGCCATTTTGGGTGACAGAGAAGGTGTTTTGGTGAGCGGGAGGGCATTTTGGTGACTTGAGAAGCTATTTTGGGTGACAAAGAAGGTGTTTTAGTGACCAGGAGGGCATTTTGGTGACTGGGAAGCCATTTTGGGTGACAGAGGAAGTGTTTTGGTGGCCGGGAGGGCATTTTGGGTGACAGAGAAGCTGTTTTGGTGACCAAGAGGCCATTTTGGGTGACAGAGAAGGTGTTTTGATGACCGGGAGGGTATTTCGGTGACTTGAGAAGCTATTTTGGTGACTGGGAAGCCATTTTGGGGTGACAAAGAAGGTGTTTTGGTGACAGAGGGGGCTTTTTGGGTGACTGAAAAGGTGTTTTGGTGACGAAAAGGGAATTTTGGGTGACACAGAAAGTATTTTGGTGACTGGGAAGCCATTTTGGTGCCAGAGAAGGTGTTTTCGTGACCGAGAAGGTGTTTTCGTGACCGAGAGGGCATTTTGGGTGACAGAAATGTGTTTTGGTGACCAAGAGAGCATTTTGGTGACTGGGAGGGCATTTGGGGTGACAGAGAAGGTGTTCTAGTGACTGGGAGGGCATTTTGGTGACTGAAAAGGTGTTTCGGTGACTGGGAAGCCATTCTGGTGACTGGGAAGCCATTTTGGGTGACTGAAAGGGTGTTTTGGTGACCAGGAGGGCATTTTGGGTGACAGAGAAGGTGTTTTGGTGACCAGGAAGCCATTTTGGGTGACAGAGAAGGTGTTTGGGTGACCAGGAAGCCATGTTGGTGACCAAGAGGGCATTTTGGTGACTGGGAAGCCATTTTGGGTGACAGAAAAGGTGTTTTGGTGACAGGGAAGCCATTTTGGGTGACAGAGAAGGTGTTTTGGTGATCGGGAGGGCATTTTGGTGACAGAAAAGGTGTTTGGGTGAC